CTTCTTAAAGGCCATATGTTAAATATCATTCAATAAATGCTGGGAATACTCTGAGAATATACTGTACTACCGTTTGGTAAACAGTTATGATTAGTCACTGGCAACTTATAGAATAACAAATAATACTATGTGCATCTTAACATAAATGTAGGAGTTATCCTTACTTTAAAAAATAATCTTCACTTGGCCTTAATGCCTGGTGTTACTGTCATTCCATTTTGCTCTCCCCCTGCCAACCAGTTTTGTTTTTGTCTTTGTATTCCCAGTGTGTTGAAGTATGTCATGCCTGTTGAATGACTAATTGATCTTTTTTGAGTGATTAACCTCTTTCTATGCTGTGTCACTGCTTCAACCACATTTGTTGTTGTTCAGTGATTTCTGACTTCTTGGGGTTTTCTTGGCAAAGATACTGGAGTGGTTTGCCATTTTCTTCTCCAGCTCGTTTTAAAGATGAAAAAACTGAGGCAAACAGGATTAAGTGACTTGCCCAGGGTCACACAGCTAGTAAGTGTCAGAGTCCAGATTTGAATTCGGGTCTTCCTAACTCCAAACCTTGCACTGTATCCACTGTGCCACCTAGATGCCTTCTTCACCATATAGTGTCACCTTTATACAAATATTTTTCCCCATTCTATTACTTCCCTTCTTATCCTAGATACATTAATGTTGTCTATGCAGAAGCTTTTCACTCTTGAATAATCAAAGTTTTCTATTTTATTTTTTGTTATTCCTCTCTTACTTGATTAAAAATATATCTCCTGTTCATAGCTTCGAGAGGTATAGTATCTGTTTCTCTTCTAATATTTAATAGTATGATCTTTAATATTAAGGACATGTGTACATTTAGAATAGATTGTGAAGTGTGGTCTAAGGTGTCGTTCTAAGCCAAATTTCTTCCAGAATGCTTTCTAATATTCCCAGCAGTTTTTTTTAATCAAATAGGAAACTTTACTCTAGGTAATTTATGTTTGCCTACTTTATGAAACCCTAAACTACATGTTTCTAAATCTGTTCCATTGCTCCATCTCTCTGTTCTTTACCCAATACCTTTATAACATAGTTTGATATGTGGAAGTGCTGTTCTGCCTTCATCCTTACTTCTTTTCAATGTTTCCCTTGATATTCAACATCTTTTGTTTTTCCAAATGTATTTTATTATTACTTTATCAAGTCCTGTATTGTATCCCTGTGTTAATTTGGTTGATATGGCAATTAAAGTATAGATAATTTTGGTACTATTGTCATCTTTATTATAGTATCATGCCCTAGCCATAAGCACTGATAATTCTTCCAGCTATGTAGGTTGTTATTTATTTCTTAAAGAGCACTTTGCAAATGCATCTGTAGAAGTCCAGTGTACTTTGGGAGGTTGATCTCCAGATATTTTATTCATTTTGTAGTTATTTGGAATGGGATATCCTTTTCCACTATTGCTTCTAGTTTATTTGTTCTTTTTACCTAGAAATGCTGTTGATTTTTGAGGATTCGATTTGTAGCAAACATCTTTGCTTAAGCTGTTGTTACAATTAGTAACTCTGTTGATTCCCTGAGGTTTTTCAATTCAGCTACCATATAATCAGCAAAGAGGCAGAGTTTTACTTACGCTTTACCTATATTTATCCCTTTAATTCCTTTCTCTTATCTTATTGTTACTGCTAACATTCCCAGAACTATATCAAATAATAGTGGAAACAGTAGGCAACCTTAATTCCTGTATTTATTGAAAAAGGTTCCACCCAGGACTGTGACCTGGATACAAGTATGGGCAAAGCAACAGAGTCCTACCCCAGTGCTAGCAAAAAGACCTTTCTATTCTCCTTCTGACAATTGTTCAACCCTGTTACCATCTGTGGACTGAGAGTTTTCAGGAGGCCACTGCTGCCACTGCCACTGCTGATTTAGTCACTTCCAAGGCCTGCTCCTGGTTTGCTGGAGCCAGGGCTATCCTGGCACAGCCTGCACTGGACTTGGTTCCATTCTCACCCAGGTGGGAAGATATTTCCTACTGACCTTCTAAGTTGTCTTTGACATCTGCGGGCTGAGAGGTTTGAAAACTGCCACTGCTACTAGTGATTCAGTCACCCTGAGGCCAGCTTCAGGTTTGCTGGGGTGGTCTGTGCCAGCATGGCCTGCACTAGACTGCACTCCTCTCGCACCCTGGTGCAAAAGACCTTTCCTGTTGACCTTTGAAGTTGTCTTGAGCTGGAAAATTGTTTCACTCCATCTTTTTGTGGGTTCTGCTGTTCTAGAATTTGTTTAATGTCATTTTAAAAGGTATTTGGAGGGGTTTGGTGGAAAAGTCAGGTGAGTCCCTGCCTTTACTCCACCATCTTGCCTCCACCCCCCATGAGAGAACACTATTTCAAGAAAACTCTAACCATGGTTTACTTTACTCTACCACTCCAATCGCTTTCTTCACAATTGCCTATCCAATCATTTTGCCATCCGCACTGGACACTATATCGTGGAGAAACTTTCAACTAGAGGGGCAGCTAGGTGGCACAGTGGATAGAGCACCAGCCCTGGAATCAGGAGGACCTGAGTTCAAATCTGGCCTCACACACATAACTTTCACTAGCTGTGTGACTCTGGGCAAGTCACTCAACCCTAATTGCCTCAGTAAAACACAAACAAACAAAAAAACTTCCAACTAGAGCTCCACTCCTCTGATTGGGGAATCAGAACAAGAACACTGATTTAGGAAAACTTCAGTCATGCTTCATTTCATTCCCTTTCTTTAAAAAAAATTCATTTTTAATATTTTTTAATTTTGAGTTCTAAATTCTTTTTTCCCTTCCAATCCTTTCCCAACCTATTGAGAAGACAAGCAATATGACATCAATTAAACACGTAAAGTAATGCAAAACATACATCCATATTAGTCATGTTGAAGAGAAAAAAGCCAAAAATAAAAGTATATTTCAATCTGCATTGCGAGTTCATCACTTCTCTCTCAGTAGGTGGATAACATTTTTCCTCATGGGTCCTTTAGAACTCTCTTGGATCATTGTATTAATTTGAGTGGCTAAGTCTTTCACAGTTGATCATAATTCAGATATTGCTGTTACAGAGTACAGTGTTCAGGTTCTGCTCACTTTGCTTTGAATCAATGCTAGAAGTCTTCCCAGGTGTTTCTGAAACTATCCTGCTTGTCATTTCTTATAGAATAACGTATTCCATTACAATCATATACCACATCTTGTTAAGCCATTCCCCATTTAATGGGCATCACTTCAATTTTAATTCTTTGCCACCACAAAAAGAGCCAGGATAAATATATTTGTACATATAGATCCTTTTTCTTTTTCTTTAATCTCTTTGGAATACAAACTTAGTAGTAGTATTGCTGGATCAAAGTGTATATGCAGGTTTTATTTTGCCCTTTGGGTGTAGTTTTAAGTTCTTCTCCAGAATTGTAGGACTAGTTTACAGTTCCACTAACAGCATGTAAATGTCCCTATTTTTCCTTATCCCCTCCAATATTCGTTCTTTTCCTTTTCTGTCATGTTAGCCAATCTGATAGACATGAGGTAGTACCTTACAGTTGTTTTAATTTGCATTTCTCTAATAAAGTGATTTGGAGCATTTTTCGTGTGATTATTGATAGCTTTGATTTCTTCTTAAAACTGTTCAGACCATTTTTGAATCAAATCAATTGGGGAATAGCACTTTTTTTCTAAATTTTGCTCAATTTTCTATATGTTTGAGAAATGCCTTTTTTTCTACAACTATTATTTTATCAGAGAAACTTACTGTAATTGTTTTTCTCAGTTTCCTGCTTTTCTCTAATTTTGGTTGTATTAATTTAGTTTTCTTTGTGTGAAAATTATTTAATTTTATGTAATCAAAATTATCTATTTTACTTCCCATGATTCTTTCTATCTCTTATTTAGTCATAAACTCTTCCCTTATCCATAGATATGACAAGTAAATTTTCTATGCTTCTCTAATTTACTTGTGATAACACCCTTTATGTCTAGATCATTTTACATTGTGGTATATAGTATGAAATGTTGATCTATACTGTTGTTGTTGTTGTTGTTGTTGTTGTTGTTGTTGTTGAGTTGTTTAGTTGTTTCAGTCATGTCCACCTCTCTGTGACCCCATTTGGGGTTTTCTCAGCGAAGATACTTAAGTATTTTGCCATTTCCTTTTCCAGATCATTTTACAGATGAAAAGCTGAGGAAAACTACATTAAGTGACTTGCACAGGGTCACACAGTAACTGAGGTTAGATCTGAATTCAAGAAGATGAGTCTTTGTGACTTCAGGCCTGGCCCTCTATCCATGGCTCCACCTACCTACCCTTATGATCTATGATCTCTGCCTAGTTTCTGCCAAATTGCTCCCCAGTTTTCCCATGATTTTTTGTCAAATGATGATTTCTTCCCCCAGAGCTTGGATGTTTTGGTTTATCAAACACTAGATTACTTTAATCATTTGCTTCTGTGTACCTAATCTGTTCCACTGATCTACCACTCTATTTCTTAGTCAATATCAAATTGTTTTCATGATTACCACTTTGTAATACAGTTTGAAATCTGGTAGTGGTAGGATGGATGCCATTCTTTACATTTTTTTTCATTAATCTTCTTGACATTTAGTGCTTCTAGATGAATTTTGTTTTTATTTTTTCTAGCTCTATAAAATAATTCTTTGGCAGTTTGATTGACATGGCACTTAATGAAGTAAATTAATTTAGATAGAGTTGGCATTTTTATTGTATTGGCTCAATCTACTCAGGAGGAATTAATATTTCTCTAGTTGTTTAGGTCTGTATTTGTGTAAAAATTGATTTGTAGTTGTGTTTGTACAATATCTGGATTTGCCTTGGCAGGTAGATTCCCAAGTATTTTCTGTTGTCTGCAGTTATTTCTCTTTTCTTTTTTTTTTTGATTTTTAAAAAAAGTTTATTACAATATACAATAGACTCATTAAGATAACACTTAATCCTGGCTGCTGGCTGCTACAGATGTTGAAGTAGGAAATGCAGATGTTACAAAGCAAGAAAGAAACCAACAGGAATCACCATATTATCTACACAGGAACTTCTACTTTTTGCCAGATTTCTTAATTCCATCACTGGCAAGTGGTCCCTTCCCAGCAGCTCTTGCTTTTAACTCTTCCAGTTTTTTCTCTTCTTCTTTTTGTTTTTGTTTGAAAGCTATACCTTCCTCATCCGTTTCCTTGGTTTGCTTCTTGGGCTGCTTCAGAGACTTCTTCTTACCACCCTCGCGACTGGACATCATGCCTGCTGCTCAGCTTTCCCGAGCCCCTTCACTGCCCGTCTGAAGTTATTTCAAATAGAATTTCTTTTTCTATCTCTTCCTGCTCTGTTTTGTTGACAATATATAGAAATGCTGATGATTTATTTATTCAGGTTTATTTTATATCCCACAACTTTGTTGAAGTTATTACTGATTTCAGTTACTTTTTGTTGATTCTCTAGAGTTATCTAAGTACACCGTCATATCATCTGCAAAAAGTGACAGCTTTGTTACCTTGTTGCCTATTCTTTTCCCTTCAATTTCTTTTTCTTGTCTTATTACTATAACTAGTATTTCTAATACAATGATAGTGGCGATAATGGATATTCTTGCTTCTCCCTTGATCTTATTGGGAATACTCTTAGTTTATCTCTACTACAGAAAATGCTTCCTCCTCCTTTTAGATAAATGCTATTTATCATCTTAAGAAAGGCTCCATTTGGGCAGCTAGGTGGCACAGTGGATAGATCACCAGCCCTGATGTCAAGAGGACCTGAATTCAAATCTAGCGTCAGACCAAACACTTGACACTTACTAGCTGTGTGACCCTGGGCAAGTCACTTAACTCCATTGCCTAAAAAAAAAAAGAAAGAAAGAAAGAAAGGCTCCATTTATCCCTATGCTTTCTAATGTTTCAAATAGGAATAATATTATACTTTGTCAAAAGCTTTTTCTGCAACTATTGATATAATCATATGATTTTTTTTTTGTTGACATGGTCAGTTACACTGATAGTTTTCCTAATACTGAACCAGCCCTGCATTCCTGGTATAAATCCCACCTGGTCATAGTGTATGACCTTTGTGATATATTGCTATAATCTCCTTGTTAGTATTTTTTTTTAATTTTCACATCACTATCCATTAAAGAAATCACTCTATAGTTTTCTTTTTTGTTTTTGCTTTCCCTTGTTTATGTTTCAAAACTATATTTGTGTCATAAAAGAAATTTGGTAGGAATCCTTTACTTACTTCCCCTCATCCCCCAATTTATATAGTATTGGCATTAATTGCTCTTTAGATGTTTGGTAGAATTTACTTGTGAATCCATAGGGTCCTAGGGATTTTTTCTTAAGGAGTTCGTTTATGGCTTGTTCAACTTATTTTTTTTCTAAGACAGGGTTATTTAAATATTCTATTTCCTCTTATGTTAATCTGGACAATTGATATTTTTGTAAATATTCATCCATTTCACTTAGATTGTCTGCTTTATCCTGGGTCTGGGCAATGAAGTTGCCAAATAGTGCTCTATCCTACATCCAGTGCTTTCATGAGGGTCCCATATAATCTCTTTCTAATCAGTTGCCTAGTCCTCTTACTGTCTTGACTGAGAAATCCTGAAGGTGTTACGGCTGCTATAGCTATAGCCAAGTCCTATACCTGGTGTTGCCAATACATGTACTCCAGATTGGCCCTGGCCCTGGTGGCAGACCTCTCTTGCAGATCTGCTAAATTGTCTTGGGCTGAGGAAATGTCTCACTCTGACTTTTGTTGGCTCTGCCCCTCTAGAGCTTGATTTGAGGCATAATTTTCAAATTGTTTGGAGGAGAATGTTCAAGAGTTCAAAGGTAATGCACTGATGTACCAATTTTCCCACATCCTCTCCAACAGTTATAATTTTTCCTTTTTTTGTCATATTTACCCAATCTTATAGGTATGAGGTGGTATCTTAGAGTTCCTTTAATTTGCATTTCTCTAATTAAAAGTGATTTAGAGCACTTTTTCATAGATAGCTTTGATTTTTTCATCTGAAAACTGCCTGTTCATATATTTTGACCATTTATCAATTGGGAAATGGTTTCTATTCTTATAAATTTGACTCAGTTCTCTATATATTTGAGAGCTAAGGCCTTTATTAGAGACACATGTTGTTAATATTGTTTCCCAGCTTTCTTCTTTCCTTCTAATCTTGGCTACATTGGTTTTATTTGTACAAAAGCCTTTTGATTTAATATAATCAAAATTATCCATTTTACATTTTGCAATGCTCTCTGCCTCTTGCTTGGTCATGAATTCTTCCCTTGCCCATAGATCTGACAGGTTGACTATTCCTTGTTCTTTTAATTTGCTTATGGTGTTGTCCTTTAGGTCTAAATAATATATATCCATTTTGACCTTATTTTGGTCCACAGTGTGAGCTGTTGGTTTATACCTAGTTTGTGTACTATTTTTTCCAGTTTTCACAGCAGTTTTTGTCACATAGTGAGTTCTTATCCCAAAAGCTGGGATCTTTGGGTTTATCAAACACTAGGTTACTATGGTCATTGACTATTATGTCTAATCTATTCTCCAAAGGTATGTCATATTTAACTTTTCTAATATTCTATTTATCTCCTTAGTTTCTTTCTTGTTAATTTTTTGGTTAGATTTATCAAGTTCTGAGAGAGGACAGTTATGGTTCCCCACTAATATACTTTCACTGCCTATTTCTTCCTCTAATTCACTTAACTTCTCCTTTAAGAATTGGGGTGCTATACCTTGGTGCATATATATTTAGTATCAATATGACTTCATTCTCTACTGCACCTTTTAGCAAAATGTAATTTCCTTTCTTTTCTCTTTTAATTAGATCTGTTTTTGCTTTTGATTTGTCTGAGATCAGGCTTGCTATCCTGTTTGTTTGTATGTTTGTTTATTTGTTTGTTTGTTTGTTTTTACTTCAGCTGAAACATAATAGATTCTGCTCCAGCCCCTTACCTTTACTCTGTGTTTGTTTCTCTACTTCAAGTGTTTCTTGTAAACAACATATTGTAGGATTCTGGTATTTGATCCACTTCACTATCTGCTTCTCTTTTATGGAAGAGTTCATCCCATTCACATTGATAGTTATGATTACTAACTGTGTATTTGCCTCCATCCTATTCTCTATCTCTGTCCTTTCACCCTTTCCATTCTCATCAGTGTTTTGCTTCTGTTTACCACCTTTCCTGACCTGTCCTCCCCTCTGTCAGTCCCCTTGAACCCCTTTTTGATATCCTCCTCTCCTATTTCCCTGTCAGGTAAGATATATTACCATATTAAACTGATTGTTTATATTATTCCCTCTTTGAGCCAATATTGATGAGAGTAAGGTTCACGCAATACCCATCACCCATCCTCCCATCTTCTCCTTCTAAGAGATAGTTATTCTTCCTTATCTGTTTTTTTTTTAAAAGGAAAATTCAATCTCAGGGAGGTGGGGTAGAGTAAGGATATATCTAGAAATAACTGATGCTTTTTTTTTTACAATGGATTAGTAAAATATTTCTATCTGGTTAAATAATTTTACTAATTATCTGCTTTACTCATTCTTGGGTCAAGTTCCCCTGAAGAATATGATGCTCACTTAAGGTTATCTTCATATTCCATCCCCTCTTAATTATTTCTTTTTAATAAGTAATGCCCTTCCAGAGTCATAGTCAAGCATTTAATCATGTTTCACCAAGTTCAGAGATATTCATAAGGTTAAATGTGCCCTTGTTTTAGGATCTTTAGTTCACTTTGTTTATTATTCATTTTTTGTGGTCCAGTCATTTCAGTTGTGTCAAACTCTCCATGACCCCATTTGGGGTTTTCTTGGCAAAGATGCCAGAGTGGTTTGCCATTTCTTTCTCCAGTTCATTTTACAGATGATGAACTGAGGAAAACAGGGTTAAATGACTTGCCCAGAGTCACACAATTAGTAAGTGTCTGAGGTCAGATTTGAACTCTGAAAGATGAGTCTTCCAGACTCCAGGCCTGACACTCTCTAACTACTGTGCCATTTAGCTGCCCAAAGTATTATCCTTGTGGCTTATTGTTCAGTCATTTCAGTCATGTTGGACTCTCATGATTCCATCTGGGGTTTTCTTGGCAAAGATACTGGAGTGGTTTGCCATTTCTTTCTCTAGTTCATTTTACAGATGAGGAACTGAGGTGAGCAGGGTTAAGTGACTTGCTCAGAGTCACACAGCTACTAAGTGTCTGAGGCTGTATTTGAACTCGGTCTTCCTGACTCAAGGCCTGGCACTATTTGCTGCACTACCTAGTTACCCATACTTTCCATACATACTTTTTTTCTTAATAAATATCTACTGAATTCATCTATGCCTTCTGATTGCACTCTCCCAGTTTTCCAAACTTCATATTCTGTTTGCTATTTCTGTTTCTCCATTCTTGATCTCCATGTTCTTAACTCTTGTTTGTTGACTTGTCCCTGATTTCTTTTCTCTCCCTTAATTGGCCAATTTGGTGTAAACTTTCATGACCTTACATTTGTACATTAATTCCAATTAACTCAGCAGGAAAGGCTTACGCCTCATTTCCTGACAGGGCTGGACAAATGCTGTCTGTCAACACTATATACAATCAAAAAGATAGAGTTTTCAGGAAAATGTTTTTAAGAGCCTCAATCCATTTATTTATAAGAAGAAGAATTGTCCATAATCTACCCAGAAATTTGAATGTTACAATTTGGGGGTTGGGAGGCTATTGCTTTTATTAGAATGAAGTTGTATTCACCCAAAGTCTGGTATGTGTTTGTGTGTGTGTGTGTTTGTGTTATCATCCAAAGTGGGCATAAAGCTCTTGTTTGCTGTTTGCCCTTTCCATGCTGTGAGGAGGCAATACATATTCTGTCAACAGAGTGATGAGAAGCACAATTTAATAGTGATCTGGTGCACTCTAGGACTGATTGTAGCTTTGGTGAAGGATTATAGTGTGGCCAAGACTTAGAAGGTCGGCAAATTTCTGAGAACAAGGGAGATACTGACAAATACATTCAACTACTTTGGAAACAGAAAAATAAAAGGAGAAATGTCTCCCAGCTGGTAAAAGGCAAAAAATCAAGAAGAACATTATTTCAAAGAGCACTGACAGACACACATTTAAGATCTAAGACCATGTCCTACTTGTCACTCCAAAGGGAAATATCCTTTAAACAGCTCTAATCCTACCCTAAACACATACCATCTGTTTACAGAGGGGTGAAGGATACACTAGTCAGCATAATGTAAAACCCAC